CCATCATCCAGTCATCCTATTTCATTCGAAGTTACATAAAATCAGCAGCATCTTATAATCATTAAACAATAAAACCAGTCCCTAGGTCGGTTGTACGTAATAAGGCCTTTCTTTCTTTCTTTCTTTAGTTCCTTCAGAAGAACGTCGCGATTACATCTCAAAATAAGCACTTCGCGGTTAAACGAAGGCTGATATCTCATACACACTGAATGTAAAATAAATTTCACATAAGAAGATTATATTTTGAATAAGCTCATTTTGAAATAATTGTCAAAATGAGTTAAACTTAGTATCGATGTAAGGTTTCAAGTTCTCATCGTGGTGAGTATGGAGATGACTTCAGAGATGCTTACTGCCTCCATCATCAGGGCGATCTGATAAAGGAGGCAGCAAATACCTCTGAAACCTCGATAAACGTTTAGCAGGCTACACGGCACCACAACCCAGGAGACAGCCATTTTAAAATTTAAAGCTGACTGTCTTCTGGGATATTGTTTGTTACAAAACGCTTTGCCAAAAACACTAATGCTACGTGTTACGTTACGCTTGCGACTATCATGCATCTCACCCCGGCAGTCGACCTCGACAGACCTTCAGTCCCTGTGTCTGAAGGGGCGGGCGGATGGCAGACCATGAATGGTAGTGCATGAGCAAAGCTTTACAACAGACGGACTCAGAGAGCGAGTGAGAAGGACAAACAGGTATACGATGGAATGTGGCACTGGCACAGCATGTTTCGCAAAGGTATTCACCACAGCAATCAAACCGCTACAAGACACAACGAAAATCTTCAGTTTGTACACATCACCAAGTTCTTGCTGTCGGGGTAATTAAACAGATGATGAAGAGTTGGTGAAAATAAATACACAAAACATTCTGGTTGGTAAGCCTGCAGGAGACCACTTAGAAGACCTGGACATAGCAAAAGTATAATATTAAAGTACTGAATCTAAGAGGAGAAAAAGAGTGCCCATGGGACTAACCGTTCTAAAGCTGGGAGTTTTATTTTTCGCGCTGAATAACCTAAACTTTTTACGCATTTTTTTCACACACTTTACACTACTGTGAAATTATGCATCAGACTACATGTTTCGACTAATAATTAGCCATCATTATATATGTGACCTGTGTTGTGCTCACCTGTGCTTACTCCTCGTTCCAGGAGTCTTAACAGAGGGTTTGAGGACATGAAAATCCTTGATATCCCAAGAGCTAAGCGCCTTAAATATTACCTAAGAGAAATTTACGCAAATTAGCATGAACTGGAAAAGATATAGTACATTATCGGTCGTTCATGATACTTATCCACTGATTTTTAAAGAACAGTCAATTATAATACAAAGTTATATGCTAATTTCATGCGCATTTGAATTCAGACAGGATGCATTCTGAATCCTACATATGTGTAAAATAGCACTGGGCTCGTTTAAGCTCATGTACTTACTATTTCTTCACGTTTAAAACCCATCGTTTATAAGAAACGAAATATACTATAATACAAGCTAATCAGCATCAGACGTGATCAAGCAGCCATCACAAAGTTTGATGACATAAAGGACTTACACAGTTTGCATCACAGCCCAAAATTTAAGGGACAATTAGAAAACAAAACGGATTATAATGGTATGCATTCTGGAGAGAATACAGTTTTTATGTTTCTCTACTACTCTTTGTAAGTCTGTATCTACCACAAAAATATGATGATTATATGGAAGAAACTCACAAAGAAATTACTTACATAAAAAGCTTAGAATTGTAACTGACGAAGAATAAAAATAAGTGCCACAACTCCGCATAACTTAAGCGTTTTGGCTGTGAGTTGTCTACGGGTGTGACCTTCGGTGTTCACAGGCGTTACCATCAGCTTCTTGGATTCAATTCTTGGTTCAATTTTCAGTGCTATATTCTGTAATCAAGCGGACTCGACCCTCGCTTTTAAACACTGCGTTTTCTTCGGAAGTTAATAACACGCTAAATCCACTAATAATTTTGAACAGCCTATACATGAACCATATGCAAACACAATAACAAGCTATGTTTCTCCAAGATGGTGGGGCGGTTAGCTAGATACAGCACCTGTCATGTGGCACACAAAGAAAACTTTGTTGTTACATCTATTTAAATGCGAGTATGAAAAGAAAATTCATTGTGTAGATAAAATATCATCCTGAAAACACACCTATAACGATTACTTTCTTTTCCAATAGACGTGCTTAGACTAAGGCAAGCAAATAACAAATTAGTATACAGAAACGGATGCATTTTTTTATTCATCTGCTTTCATGAGCCACGCTCTGACAAACGTGCAAACACCTAACTTTTATCTGCACGAGAAAGCGACGCACCAAATGTGTCAGTCTATGAGTCCATCCGATGACTGTACAACGGTCACTCCTTCACACGTTTAACTGCTAGGAAACGACACTAACGAAGAAATTCTTCCTACATTTAATAACGGACTGTCAATTTAGCTTCAAAGCAAACGGTTGGAAGCGTAAAGAAAGAATCATGGAAATAAATAAAATCAACGACTCATGACCAATAGATATTTGAAGACGCATCAGTAAACAACCACGTAAGAAAGGGAAATATTTCCATTCGTAAGTAAAAGTTTACAGCCTTCAGAATAAACATGTACAAGCCAAAATAAAGAATAAGCCGATTTGTAAAAATTTCTTCCGGAAGTCCTATTCAGCATAAAATAGCCTTGTGTCAAGACCCTGCACATCATATATAGGCTATGAAACGAATGTGAAAACAACTATAATTCTATGAGACTTTCTTTGACTCTAACGTAAACATGTTTGTACTGCTGATAGCCACAGCATCTATATTTCGGATATAGGTAATTAACAAGACCACCTATCTATCACTTATCCAGTTTTCACTCCATAGAAAGCTACAAACTTATCTACACTTTATGTCATACACAGCTACGCAAATACAAAATGGTTGCTATCCTTCTTTGTTAAATCAGCAGTTCCACATACATGGTCATTTTTCTCATATAAGTAGGTGATGATGACTGGCAAAAGTGATGATGACTGTCTTCTGGGATGTTGCACCGCGTAGTCTCGTAGAAATTAATAAGTTTTAGGGGTGACTACCGCCTCCATTATCAAGGAGATAAGTCGATCGGTTTCTGCAAGACTACAAGGCACAACATCCCAGGAGACAGCCATATTCATACTTGCCGCCGTGAAAACCTGAATTCTCATAAAAACGATTTACTTTATGAATTTTATCAAGGCCGAGGTGTACCTCCACGCCACCTATACGTCTTAAAGTTGCGCTGCTCAGGTACAGGCGAAGCTTCGCCTTTCAATCACAGTGAAACGCATTGAATAGTTTATTAATTCTAACTGGGAAAAAAAATCAAGTACATTTAGAGGAATTTAGATATGCTAAACCGTAGCCAATAACTAATTTTAACAGTTAGTGGTAAAAAACACGTTAGTATAATGCCATCTAACCACCTGTAACAAGATTAGTGCCAGATCCCGTGTACTGTTAATAAGAGTAGATCCATATAGTTCATTAACAGTAACAGGCAGAAGTGAAGAGCTCAAGGAAATATGAACAATTATGGAACACGGTTTAAGCAACAGATGTAATGAAATAAGAATGTACTTACCAATGTGAGAAGGACACTCGGATTGCATTTCTTCAGTACAGTGGCAATCTGTAAGACATAAAAGAACACTTTCACATAAAACAAAAAAGGAAGTAGATTACTGAAACTTAATGAAAGTGGAAATCCACTGTATGAAATTAAAAATTCATACTTTTTCTGCTACAGAATTATATTGTAAGTTCCTTAAAGATGTATTCGACACACGCACACAGTTCGTAATTTTATTTAAACCCAATTACATTATTATTAATTAGTCATATCCACACAAAAATAAAAAATTGAATTTAATTAATTTATTAAAATGTTTTCCAACAGCAAGGAGCCAGTGACAGGCAAACACTAGTAATACATACTTATACAATAACAATAATAATTTTTCAGAAGCATGTTTGGGAAGTCAGATTTCCCTTAAAAAGACTTCTGTAAAAGATAAATTTATGTTATTGCAACAGCTGTCAAAATATTGTCAAATATTCTATCCTTGAACTAAAACATACTTCGAAAAAACAGGAAAATCCACATGTGATAAGTTTTGAAATCTGCTGCCTATAGAATGCTTGTTGAAACAGAGGTCCATCCATATCCCATTATGTTATCGTAAACATATCAATCACTTTCCTTCCCACAGCTGACCTTCACTTCATTTTAAAAATTGTTCATCAATATAAATGTTTACAAATAATATTGACATTCATCTTATCTTTTAATTTCTTGTTTGTCCAGCAAATATCCCACATCGCCATGTGAGGTGAAGGATGCAAACCAAATATTGCACAATACATTACCAGTACGTGTTCATCGATTTAAGAAAGACAACTTACGGCGATGATAAGACGTTATCAAAATTAATATCAAGGCGAAAAAGTAAATTAAAAGGATTGTACAACAACCAGTCTGAGATGCTTATCACAGTTTCCTGTAATACTCCCCAATTATTCATTGGATTTAATCTAGAATTTTATCGATTTGACGTTCATAATTAATTTCACTATTTATTTTAATGCTGGACAAGATTATATGATAGTACGGAAAAGATCGTGGTCTTTTTTGAATATTGTATTTCACCATTTTCTCGGAGGTACAGAGAAAACTATAAATTTAATTGGAGGATTGCACATTTGCATACTTCATTGGTCATTGCAGACTGAAACTAACTGTGGTAAGAATAAGCACAATACATATAGAGAAATTCTTTTTCCTGAAATTCTTTAAATAATTACCATATCTAAAAATGTTAAAACAAAAGTTGATCTGTATTTTATGTTGCGTACAAAGATTTCGTCCGCTTAGTAATTATTTTAGAAAATCTGTAAGTTTAGTGTCATATTCGTGAAAAACAGATCTGGTGCCAAGGCAAAGGGGTATAAGCCAGCAAACTGCAGCTGAAGTATGAATGATACTTTACAGCCGATATTTCATATTACCTGCACGTAGCAAAACCATCACATAATAATTATGTTAATGTGCAAAATGTATAAAAATCATATTTCTATAACGTATTGGAAAAAATCAACAAACATTATTTGTAGACACTTAAGGTACCATTTGGCTGCACGCGACAGAGACAAGCTACCGAGGCAGGCGACAGAGTTACGGGACCGAGACTGGTCGCTTCCTGTCTGCTCTCTGTACAATCGTATGAAGTACAATTACGAGCGCGAGACAAAGACAGGCGACAGAGACGGGCGTCAGAGACAAAGCACAGGAGACCGCTCTCGGACCAGTAGTGTCTCGCGACGGGCTCAGGCAGCACGTGTGTTGTTGGGTAAAATAATGGCAGAAATTAAATTTACTGGTGACCAAGATGAGCAATTGGTAGAATTAGTAGCAGAAAACCGACTACTGTTCGATCCTGAGGTCGAGTCATACAAGGATGGGAATATTCGTGATAACGTCTGGAAGGCTATAGCTGGGAAGTTACACAAAAGTGGTTAGTTGTTTACGTTTTTATAATGCATGTATCATTCATAATACAATATAACTTCTTCTTGACTTAAACACATCATGCAATGAATGGATTATTACCAGGTCTATTGGTTAGTTAGTTTCTTCTGTTTATGCGATCTACTTGCCAAGAAACTGCACCAGCGTCTGACATGAAATATTTTCTCAACTCTTCTCTTCTCTTATCTCGAATCCTGCTCTATTTGCATAGCCTCCTGCTCGATATTAAGAGTGCATGTTTGGTGTTAGCGTTGTTTCCACGTCATTACTTAAGTGATAGAAAGTTTTTTCAGATTTTTCTAGGAATCCATCGCGTAACAGGTTATGTAAAGAACAGGTGACTAATATCAAATCATCACATGTCTCCGGCAAAATGTTTATATGTGTATAAAACATTCTAAATACTTGGCAAAGCAACCCAAATGCATTTTCTGATACCCTTCTGGCACGACAAAGGCGATAATTGAATGTCTGTTTAGTTCTTTGCAACTTTCTTTGTATAGGGCTTCATCAGATACGTGTCGAGACCAAATGCTTCGTCTCCAAGTAAAAAATGGTTCAGCTTTGTATTAGTTCCCGGAAGGCACTCAGGACCCGAAAAATTAAAGTTATTTCCAATAATTTTCTGTTCCATTGTAGATTTCTTTGCCATACGCACCGACGTCCACCGCAATAAACTTGTAATTAGCATCC